CTTAGCACCGCCATGCTTCGCAGTGGCGGGGGGTATGACCACTACTACAAGGCACACATTGGTGTCGTTCCGGTGGTGCTTTTTTGAACTCGTGCACCCTACAAGTACATCTGAAACCTACACCGGTCCGTTTTGATAACTTCTCTGTCCCTGTGAACCACCCATCCCCAGAATATGTGGCCTGGGAAATCCTGGGTATGCTCTCAAGGATGGAGAACCAGCATTGGAACATACGTATTTGAAGCACCAATCTTCGCTCTTGTATGTTGTTTTTCGGTCAAAACAAACGTTGATCTTGTCTACTGGTCTACCCATCATCCCATCCCCCTAGTATCGTCTAATATCATCCCTACCCCTAGATGGGCCCCAAAATGAATAGATTCAACACACCACTTGGTTTCAGGGGAAGGGATTATGAAGGGCTGCCGAAAAAAAAACCAGTGGAGAATCCAACATCCAACAGTCACGTTTTTTGTCACGCGACAAATCCATTCCCTAAATCAACCATCATCGAACTTCATCAAATTTCATACTGAACAGCATCATTATATATATATATATTACTAAAGGTTTCGGCTGCAGCAGGGTTTCGCCCCACGAACGTGCTGCTTTGCCGTGTGACCTTAGCGATCTTGTGAGCGACTGGTCGCGGGCCTCTTCGAGCGCCTTTGCATTTGCTCACTTGCGCTCTGCTTCCACAGTGCAGGGAAGTAACGCCATCGCTTTTCCAGTCTGACCTGTTGCTCTTCATCTTGCACATTCTGTTCTTCGTCTTTGCATCATTTCAGGATTGATCTCTGCCAACGAGGGTTGGCACACTGATCTCTTGCATTTGGTCGCAACAATACATGTTCCCTTTGGTATTTCTGGTGCTCATCTTCTTTGCCCAGTATTTTACCATCAGTGAGACGGAGATTGCGCAGAAGGAGAACTCAGGCAAGACTATCCTGGCACCTCCATCGCCAGGGGATTCGCAAGCTGTCTTTTTGGCAGCTCAATTCGCTCTACGTGACCTTGCAGAGCCATCATTCAAGAGATCCAGTTCTTCTTGCCAAGCTACGGAAAGAAATGGAGAAGATGGACCCTTGGAGATGTCGTTACTGCATGAGACTTGTCAAGGGCAAGTCAGCTCAGTGCGGGGGCTGCTGGCGATACTGGGCACAATGCCACGATTCCAGCTATGTGCATCAATCCAGGACTTCGGCCTACACTGGTGGTTGGCACGACCAGGGGTGGTCGGAAGCGGGACCATGGGCTGTGAATCGACCCAAGTCGCCCAGAAAGCGCACACAGAGCCCAAGACACAGAGCCAAGCAACACAATGCGGCGGAGGGCAAAGGCAAACACAAAGGGGGAGGAAAAGGTTCCCATGGACCTCCGTCAACGCAGTGGCTTTCGCCACCCATGTTGCCGGCCTCTATGCTTCCTGCAGATCCGCCGCCTGCTGTGGCTCCTATGTCTTCGACACCATCCACGGCAATGGCATCGATGCCATCGAGGCAACCTTTTCCGAAGCCTGGAGGTCACAAAGACGATCAGGAATTGTTCTCACTCCGCCATATGTTCAAGGAGCTCAAGAACAAGCCCAACCTTCCAGAAGATATCAAGAAGGTTGTGCAGGCAACAGAGGTGTCTGTGCGCAAAGTGGATGCCAAATCGCACAGTCAGCTCGTCTCGCAATTGAACAACATCAGAAAGAAGTTGATGGAGATCGACGACCAGTGGGCTGCTTACAGAGATCAGTGGGCTGCCTATCTGGACAAGGCGACTCAAATGTGGATGGCACATGTCGAGGAGTTCGAGCAGGGGGAGCTTCGATTTGCCGAAAAGAGGAACGAAGCACTCCACAGCCTGAACAGCACCAGAGAGGCGTTACAAGATGCCCATCGACGCACGATGGATCAGGACGTCTTGGCATCCAAAGACATTGCCACGGCGCAAGAAGCTCTCGATGCCTCTATGAACATCGAGGAAGAGGATGGCTCAGGTGTCCCGAGCAGCTTTGCGCAGATCAAAGAGAATCTTACGGGTGTGGTGCAGCAAGTCAAGAGCACCATCGAGGACAAGATCAAGAAGCGAGAACGAGTTCCTGGTGAGGTTGCAGATGCACCAGATGTGGAGGTGGTAGAGCCTGTGGACAAGAAACCTCGGATTCCACCTAGCCCTGACTCCCCAAGTGTCGCACGACGAAGCCTTTTCAGGGTGTTTGACATCTGAAAGGAGGGAGGAGGGGCGAGCACGTGATCGATTTTGCAAAGTTTCCTTTTGGCCTGTTGTGGACTATGTGGGCGAGTTCAACGATGAGGTCAAGGGCTACTGCAATTTTTGGTCTGATGCTGATGATTTGGAAAGAGAGAGAAGTTTTACTTCATTTCCGCACTTTCACTCTGTCATGGATGAAGCAGATTTTCGTAGCGTTTGGGATGCACGTGATGCTGCTCTTCTTCTTGCAGAGTCTATCAACTCCACAGCCTTTGATGTCGATTTTGATATGACTTTCAAACTTTGGAGATCTCGGACAACATGTTGGTGTGAATTTGCTGATGCTCCCTTTGTCACACAAGGGACACCTCCGTTGCAGACCTTTCATACCAGCGATGCATGGCATGACGTACCATCTCGCTGGTTTGGTACTCACGGACCAGAGCAGGATCACCATGACCATGAACCTGACGATGCACAGCATTTTCTTCATGAGGCACCTGACACCATACGACATCTCTACGATGAATTCCATTATCAAGGGTTGATTGAGGGACCAGCCCTCACGGAGGCCATTCATGTGCGTTCTTGGTTTCTTCATCATCTTCATCAACGCAGCTGGGATGTTCCCAGAGTTTTAGAACTTGATGGTCATTGGCGTCATTGGGCAAGAGACATTGCAGCAGGTTGGCGTGATCAGATCATTGTCGATGAGGACATTGCATTCTACATCTGTCGACCAGACCCTCCTAGAAATGCTGCAATCGCGCACGAGATCCTCTTTGACCTCATTGTTGCACAGGGCATTGATGTACATGAGTGGGCAGGGCTGATCACAGTTATACGAGCTGATGATGCGGCAGCCCGTGCTGAATTTTCTCGTGCTGTCTCACTTCCTCAATTTGTCAGTGGAGAGCACTTGGCCATGCTTGTTGGCCAGACACAGCAGTGCCATCTGCGAGGATGCAGAATTGCTCATGCGAGAACAGAGATTCCTTTCACACATGAGCCTGTTCATGAAATGACCAATGGCGATGCCTTTGTCATACAACCACGACGCTCCCAAGCGGCCGCTGCTCCTCCTATTGTGCCTCATGACAATGCAATCGCTGATCTTGACTATGACATTTGTGGAGAGCAACTGCAGGAGCCAGCCCCTATTGCAGATGCTGAGGTTTCTGAGGGGTATTCACCATCGTCTGAGTTGCCTGATGACATGCAAGGAACCCACATCTACAGACTGGGACAGCTTGATATCTTCGGCCACCTGGACTGGCGTTCATACCATGCTGCCCTCCGTGATGCTGCGCAGTTGCTTCGAATGCCTCTCAACCAATTCGTTGGCTTTCATTATACGGAAGTTCACCTCCCAGGTCACGATGCGGGGGATGAGGCCATCATCATGCAGCATTTGAACGACATCCAGCCTGGATCGCTTGAGAAGCTGGTTCTTATTGACATTGTGTACCATACGAATCGGCTTGCCCATGGAGTGCCTGACAATCCAACTGTCACTAGAGAAGTCTACAAGGTCCAGCCTCAATTGGTGAGACAACATCTTCTCATCATTGCACAAGTTGCATCGTATTGCACATGGCGGTTTGATCAATGTATTGTCCATCACAATGACCGTGAATGGTATCGTACAGATCACCAACTTCGTGACATATCCCATGGGGCTGTTTTTCGTATTCAATTGCCGCCCACACCGCAGTCTGAATGGCACATTGGACAAGCAGTACGTGTTGCGCATGAGACTGGAGAGCTTCTCGACTTTCCGGCTGCTGGGGATCTTGCACATGCCATCATGAACGGTCAGATTGATACCAACCGCCAAGATTATGATGGGGCCTCAACGATGGGTGCGAGGATCGTCCAATGCAAGGGTAGTGATCATACTGAAGATGTTGACATACCCATGACTTTTCCACCTGGAGTTCAAATGCCCCGCTTACGGCCGAGGCATGACGGAGAATTTGACTGGCTCTATGAATTGGCCAGCATTTTTCGCCAAGATGCAGAAGCTGAAACGATTGAGGGTGATCCATTGTTATACATTCAGACATGGTACATCCATCACCAACGTTACAAGCGCTGCCATCGACCAAGAGCTGTCCGACTTGATGGTGCCATGATTGGCTGGATCGAGGAATTTCGACAGACTTGGAGTGATGTCTTGGACTTTGGCATTCCTTTTGGCATCCATGTGGTTCGTCCACGACCCCCACGTCCTCGATGGCAGACTTATTCATGTCATGTTGTTTTGGAGCAAGCAGTACACCCCCATCATTCAGCTGGAGTGCTTTCGGTGCTTTTTGAAGGACCAGACCGTGATGCCCTTCAACAATTTGCTGGATCCTTTCCACATTTGATCAATACACCGATTGTCATTGATGAACTCGGCCTGCAACCACAATGTGATCTCCGACGGTGCAGCGTTCGAGCAGGTGGAGAGCCAGTTCATCTGATCTTGATGACTGCAATATCCAGTGGGTTCAATGTCTGTGTGCGTATTGAATCTGTTGATGCGCAACGACCAATCCCTCCTTCGGAAGATGAGGTTCACTTTGATGATTTGACCCTCATGCAACTGCCTCCGAATGTGGTTGCGTCTAGTAGCTCCAGCCAACCAGGGCCTGTTCCTGATGCTACTTGCACTACATTTCAATTCAACCCTGCTGCGTACCCCTTTACTCCAGGGCAATTGCAGTTGAACACAATGAGTGAATTTGTGCAAGACCTTCATGTCCTTTGGGAGACAGCGGCATTTGCATGGGAGGATGAGCCACGTTCTTGCC